GGAGAGACTGTTTCACTGTAAAGTTCCTAGCATTCTGCCTTACAATCTTTCCACCCGGTCTGATATTTTTCCCCTGAGCCATAGATGCAGGAGGTGTGCTGTAGATGTATCATTTAGGTGTGAGCTCCCTATGAGTCATTGGTCTCTTCCTTGTGTCTAGTTGTGGTTTCCATTTGTTGCAAAAAAAGTTTTCTTTGATGGGGGCTCGGTGCAATTGTACTTACATCTCAAGGTTTGGAACTAAGGCAAGAAGAAAGACATGTGGAGTTTCCCTTTCGGTGTCTGGATTATTTCACTTAATGCATGTTCTAGACTCATCTATTTGCTTGCAAATTTAATGAGCTCATTTTTTCCTCAAAGCTTAATAGTATTCCATTATATATATACATTTATATATATTTACACACACATATACATATATATGTGCACATTTTCATTATCCATTCATATGTTGAAGGACAATTAGGCCACTCCCATAGACAGTACCTGTCAAGATTAAGGTGCAGGAAAGTATTTTCAGGACAGGAGTCCATTTGCCCCAGAAATTAAGATCAACGATAGATGACTGGGACCCCATAAAACTGAAATGCTTCTGTACAATTAATGAAATGAACAATATAAGAGAAGAAGAAACCACAGAATGGGAGGTAATCTTTGCCAGTTATATGTTCGGCAGAGGATAAATATACAGAATATACAAAAAAACCCTAAAAGACAAAGAGTCAAAGAAACAAATGACCCAATTGAAAATGGCTTGGGATCTAAACTGAAAGCTCCCAGTGGAAGAAATAAAAGAAAGAAGGCACAAAGAACAAAACAAGTAACACATTAAAATCCTAATGCAGGGCCAATGTCAGAATATTTAGCAATGAGATTAAAGACACAGATAAAACGACGCTTCCTTAATTTAGGAAATCTGTAAAGTAAGGGATAAATGTAAAATATTGTGGTTTTATATGATGTAAAAAATAAACAAAGAAATGTAAATAATTCTATATATAATAAATGAAATATGAAACATTTAGATATAATTTTATAAGAGATTTTTACTAAGAACTATAAAACATTGGAAGAAATTAAAGATTTAAATAAAGATACTTATGTTCATACTCAGACTAAATATTTTTCATGAAGTGAATTCTTTCCAAATTGATATTCAGATTCAAGAAATAATAACCAGAATCCCAACAAGAGTTGTGTATATGAATGTGTGAATATATACACATTATATACATGTATGTAATATACATGCACATATATGTATATATGTATATAAACACATGCACGAAGCATTAGACTTAGTCTAATGAAGATATGAAGGATATTGAGTCACATGGATGGAATACATAGCAACTTCAGCAGCCCTTTCAATAAATCACAACAAGATGCACATTTTAAAATTAATTAAACATGAATTTCAGTTTCAAACATAAGAATGAGAACGTCTCTAAAACTTAAAATGAGAACTTCTCTAAAACTTTAGAGAAAACCAAGAAAGTCTTTTAAAGGTAAATACATGTGTCTTAAAGGAAACACAAAAAGCACAATTATTAAATATAAAAATTATATTGTATCAAGATCTGGAATTTCTGCTTATCAGTATATGATCAAAAAAATGAAAAGGTAAATCAGAGTGTGTGTTATAATAGTCACTATGTATCAGGCACATGAGAGTTCTCTGGACTATATATGTATTAGCACATATATACAAATACAAAGCATGTGTATAAATTATATATACATATAAAATGTAAGTATTAAAAAGGAATGCTTAAACTTATAAATTATAAATGTGTTAATAAGTATGAGTTGTATCATTATATATACACATATAATAAAAAATAATATACATATGCAAAATTAAAATACTTGTGAAGGCCCGAAAGTCAGTAATAGAAAGACAACTTGGCATAAAACATGTACAAGTAGTTTGTAGTAGAAAATGTATAAGAGGAAAGCCAAGAAACACGTGGAAATGTCTTCCATGCTGGCAGTTATCAGAGAACGGCAAATGAAAGCCACTTCAGTCTCACCTTGATGACTGAAATTGAGAAGTGGAATAGTAGGTTGTTGTTGGCGAGAATGTGGAACTACTTCCCTATATTGTGGTGGGCGGCGTAAAACGTCAGGCTCACTTCTGAAAACTTGAGCAAACTCTGGCCAAGTTAAATGTGCACCAACTTTTTGACACAACAACTTTACTCCTAGGTATTACCTAAGAGACACAAAGCTGTGTCCTCAAAAAGATGCATTCCTTCCTTGTATGCCATCCTAGAACCTTCATCCAGTGGCTGACGGAAGCAGAGGCAGACACCCACAGCTAAGCCCTGAACTGAACCCCTGGAACCCAGTGACAGAGAGGGAGGAGTGATGAGCAAAGGGGTCAAGACTGGGATGGTGAAACCCACAGAAACAGCTGACCTGAACAAGGGGGAACTCTTGAACCCCAGACTGATAGCTGAGAGGCCAGCAAGTGACTGGTCCAGACTCCCTGAATGTGGGTGTCAGTGAGGAGGCCTCAGCATCCTTTGTGGCCTCAGACAATATATCAGCATTTAGCCCTGTCATCCAGATGGACTTTGGGAGCCCATTCCATGTGGAGGGATGCTGTCTCTGCCTAGGCCCTCCCCCAGATCATATGACAGACTTTTGAGATCCCCCATGAAGGGCCTCACCCTCCTTGGAGAGTGGAGTGGGGATTGGAGGAGGGATTTGGGGAGGATTGAAGGGGGTCAGGAGAGGAGGGAAGGGAGAGGGAGCTGGGTTTTACATGTGAAGTAAACTTGTTTCTAATTTAAATTAAATAAAAAAAGAAACAACAAAAAAGATGCATTCAAGAATGTTTGTAGAAACACTATTTGTAAAATCTGCTAACTATAAACAGGGCAACATCAATTATATTGGAACAGTAAGTTGGGGTCTTGGTATTTTTTTTTGTCTTACTGGTTTTGTTTGTTTTGACCTTTTTTTGTCTTTCATTTTATGGTTCTTTTTGAGAGAGAGAGAGAGAGAGAGAGAGAGAGAGAGAGAGAGAGAGAGAGAGAGAGAACCTGAAGCTGTGGACAAGGAGGTGGGAGGATCCGGAAGAAGCAATGGAAGGGAAAACATGAACAAATACAGTGACTACAAAAATTTTAAAATAAAAAATGAATTGGAATTCATATAATGCTACGGATGAACTTCAGAAATATGACAAAAATGCCTTTTGTGAAGAGAATCACATGGGAAGAGACCCACATCACGTGTTTCCAGTGAGACGACAAAGAAAACAATGAGGTCTACCACACAGCTGCTGCCTGCTGGAACCCAGAGCAGGAGCAGCATCAAAGGGCTGCAGAAGCTCGTCATCATTCACAGTGCTGGGAAAGTCAAACGGTGAGCCTCTCTGAAGGACGCGGCTGGTAGTGTCTCACAAAATTAAACCTATCCCGACCAGGCGATTGATTTCACCGGGATTTATCCAAGACCCAGCAACTCATGTATGCAGAAAATCTGCACACGGAGAGTTCCTAGCAGTGCTCCCAACAACTGCCAAATCGCCCAACAACCGAGCTCCTCTTCAATGAGTGAACTGGATAAGCGTGTTTCATATGGACCACAGGATATGATTTAGCAAAGAAAGAAATGAGCTGTCAGTCCTTAATAAGGCAGAGAAACCTTAGATGTGGGATACTAAGTAAAACTCCCCAACCCCCAAAGGCTACACAAACTGTATGATTTCAGCTATATGTTTTTCTGTGGCCTTAAACTGCTGTGTGTGTGTGTGTGGGGGGGGTGTTAGTCTTCAAAATTTCACAGAGAACAATACAACGTAAAGACGACTTGATTAGAGAATACTCATATAAAAAGAGACAGAGAAATACTTCTTCACTTTCTGATGGCAGACACAAGTGCCGGAGGGGGAGACTGGGTCAAAGGCGATGGTGCTAGAAAGATGGCATCTGGATCCATCTCCAAACATCTGAGTTTGTTGGCCTCAACAGTGGCAATGAGGTTTTGTCTGTTTTCTTACTTGAAATCAAGAGATCAAGAGTTAGGATCAGTGCTTCTGAAGGAAACTTTAAAAGATGCCCACTCCACCAAGGAAAAGACAGGAGACAATGTTGCAAGCTTTGTCGTTATTGGAGCTGAAGAAAAGGCGTGGGGAAAAAAAATAAGAATTGCGTCTATCAGAAACAGAGTCCCGAGAGAAACTTCTCTTCAAAAGCATTCACACAGACCTGCCCGTGGACGCCTTTGAAGGATTTAAATTCCTGGTCTGGAGTTTTTTTCTCTTGAGTCCTTCAGATCTGAATTTTGGAAAACCTTCGCTTTTTGGTTCCTGTGCAGGAAGACAGAGAGCTATGTTTTCGTAGATCTGCCTTGTAGCTGGGCTTTTCTAGGAAGGAGAGTGCTTCGCCTGGGTAGACAATGACAACTGGGCAGAGTCAGGAGGTGCACCAGAGGTTCTGATATCTAGAACACTGGCAGAACAAACCACTACCTCAACTCTTATCTCTCCGTACGACAGGCAGAAGTCCATTTTGGAGTCAACATATTTGCAAAACAAACCCTAGTCATGGACCCTGTTGGAGTTCTTATGTAGTACCTTTTTAAAGCTGAAGTTGCAGCTTAATTGTTTCTTCAGGGTTTTCTTTTTCTTGCCTCATGTTTCCATGGAAACCATGAGGTCCAAAGAGCTCTGAATGATTGCCATAATAGTAACTATTTTTATGTATGACTCTAGTACCAATTTTGAACAAGAGTCTTAGCAAGTATGTCAGTGAGTTAAGTCTTTCTGTTCTTTTAGAAGAGACTTCCCAAGGCTCACAGGAATCAGTAATGAACTTCGCCTTGTTGTTGTTCATTTTACGAAACACGTCTAAGGAACCAACACTATTATATTTGCTTAGAGCACAGAGTTCCAGTGAATTTATTCTTCTGTGATAGAGTCTATTTAGGTCAAGTAGAAAGAGTCCCAGCTCTGTTTTATGGAAGAAACTGTAAAATGTCTGGAAGCATTAGAGTTGTATTTGTGAGGAGCCCATTTCATGGCTTATCCGTGTCCTGGGAAGCATCTCTTTTCTCACTTTTGGGCTGCTTTGAAACCAGAATACCATGGTCTCTATGGCCCTCCTCAGCTTGGCATTTCCTGATATGAGGATGACTGCGTGTCCCGAAGGGCAAGCCGCCATCATCCCTATACAAACCATCACTCCTCCCTTACTGTGCCACACTACCAGTAAAGGCATCGAGACCAAGCCAGCACAGAATGACAGCATATAGAAACACAGAAAGGAGAACAAAAATATGATGGCTCGGATGTGTGCCTCCAGGCTGGGGTCGTGGGAGTCTCTGGCCTGGGACTTCATGGCCCTCAAGTGACTTCCAAGGGAGATAAACAGCGCTCCAGAGGAAACCAGGAAAGCCAGGGAAGAGGGGATCGTCCCCACATTGCAGAAGATCATTGAATAGAAGAAATTGAGCTTTGCAATTTGCGAGTTGAATTCTGTGTTGTTCGTCGTGGGTAGGACAGACGCGACAGTGACTCGAGACCTGCTGAAAAAGTCCCACAAGCAGAGGGCAGCGCAGACACAGGAGAAAAGAAGAGCGACTAGAAGCAGCCGGCGAAATCTCCTGGAGACCCAGTTTGCTAAGTGGAGCAGGAAGGTGTGAGAGAAACGGGCAATCTTGGAGCAGTAGAGGAGACTGAGGCAGGCGGCAAGCCAGAGGCTCACTTGGTTTATGATCATCCAGAAGGTGAGGATGGCTTGGTAGTTGTGGCTCAGCGGGTCTTGCGTCTGCTGGAAGCAGGTGAGCTGGATTGCATCCAGGAGCAGGAGCCCCTGCAGGAAGAGCCGCGTGATGCTGAGGCACAGCAGCACAATGTCACAGTTGTTCAAGGGCTGCCCTTTTACCACGTCCCGAAAGTTCACCAAGACAATGAATGCGTTGACCAGGATGCCCACGGCAAACTCCAGCACGGAAAGGAGCAGAAACGAAACCTTGGCTTCATAGGACACAGTTAAGACGGGAGTCAGAGTCAACATGATGCCCCTCACCCCTTCTCTGATTAATGAGCCCGAAACTCTGATTTCACCCACGAGGGCAGGGGGGGACTGTCTCTTGAACCAAGATCTCTTCTTTTCAAGCAATCTGAATCCTTCCCAGCTTTTGGGAGGCGCACACAAAGCCCGGATAGGAAACTTGGAGAGACGCTGTCACTTCAGAGTATCTCTTGCGTAGACATGAGTGCTTGTGACCAGGGTGGGGCGATGGCGGCTCTACCTCTTGGATGATGGAAAAACTTTAGTAAACCCAGGTTACCTACCCAACTACCCCACCAGAAGCCACAGTGCAGCAGCAGGAATGTCAACAAGGTCGAGTTTCAGTTGGCCAACCAGGCAGGGGCTGGTTTTACATGCCCACACAGACCTGTGGGCACAGAGAAGGGGAAGATTTGTTTACGGGGTGTAGGGACACGGACTGCAGGCAAAATAGCTGTTCTTAGTGAAGCAGGCTTTGAAATGGGGGTCTCTGCAAATTTGCATTTCTCTTTTCACTTTCGAGGCCCTACCTAACATAAACGACTAGCTGGATGGTCCTAGCTGAGAGTTCCTTATCTGCACCCTGAACAACGTACAGTGGATTCAGTCTCTATAGACGGAAAACAACAGGGCGGAGGTGAAGAGAGGGCAGGGAAGTCGCAGCAAAGGTCAGGGAAAGTAAGCCAGCTGGGCACTGTACGGAAACTGCTCTCCATGTGTAAACAGAGCATACTCTTTCCTGGAAGAGGTCACTGTACTTAGAGGTAAAATGCCATCGAGTGACTACGGATTGTAAACGTAGCTAATGGTAACAAGCCAGAACCTTGGCAGGAAGTGGGCTGGGCGGTGACATCCTGAGGGTGTAAGGGCGTCCTTGGTGGCCAGCACAAGAATATAGAGAAAAAGAGAGAGAGCTAGGGAGGCCTGTAGCAAGAGGTGAAGTTGGGGTGGGGGTGGGGCACAGTTCAGTCTAAACCGCTTGCAAAGATGCCTCTTTGGGTAGTTTGCGAACTGAAATATAAAATGGTCAGTGGCTGGTTATGTCCCCCTCCCCACCTGCCGCTTGCCCCATTCATACATAGGGCATCAGCTTCAGCCATTTCTCCAGGGTCAGGTGGATAGTAATATGGCTTGTGTCACACCCGTGGGAAACAATGGGAGACCTATTTTTCAGCAAGTGGGGGAAGAGTCCCTGTAGGAGTGTTACGGGGGGATGTTTAGGGAACCCCACCTGGGGCACCATGTTACTGGAGGAGACTGGGGTCCCCTCTTGGCGTTCTTAGTCTCCTTAACAAGAGAGTTGAGAATGGACTCGGGAGGAAGCTTCAAGGACAGTTTCATTAGAGTTTAAAAGAAAAACCCCAGGGCAGGCAGCTGCCCCATTGGGGAAGACGAAGAAGGGTCAAAGAGAAGGACTCTTTGTTGCCACTTGGTGGAGAGAGGTGGAGGCGAACGGTTTCAGATGGAAACATGAAGCAAGCCCAGAGTGTACGGGGAATCGTGCCCAGGCCACAGATAGCATCCAAGAGGAAGAAAAGAAGAGAAAGAAAGAAAGGAAATGAAAGAGAGAAGGACCAGGATGCATCCCCCGTGCACGAACGGACTTCGGGAGCCCATTTCCCATGGAGGGATACTCTCTTAGCCTAGATACACAGGGGAGGGCCTAGGCCCTGCCCCAAATGACTTGACAGATTTTGATGATCCCTCATGGAAGGCCTCACCCTCCTTGGGGAGTGGCTGGGGCGTGGGATGGGGGGGACGTCGGTGGGAGCAGGAGAGGCTGGGAGGGAGAGGGAACTGGGATTGATATGTAAAATGAGACTGTTTCTAGTTTAAATAAAATTTATTTTTAAAAAAAGAGAGGAGGAAAGGAGAAAAAGTTAGAAAAAGCAGCCAAGGTTAGCACAGCTGCTTGGCCACAGCTCCATAAGCTACTGAAACCTATTGAAGGAGGCAAAGGAAAAATGCGTGATCTTATTGAGGAAATAAGCATTCCTGCAGTCTCTAGCATTGCTTAAGGTAAACCAGCCTTCCCAGGAGGGCTAACTGAATTAAGTAATGTTTTGGGTAGTTTAGGCCAGAGGTAGATTTCATTTTTTGACTTCAGGGTGAGGGGTGGTCGGGGTGGAGGATGGGGGTGGGGGGTGGCTTTTCCTTAGCAGACCTCAACAGAATCCTGATCAAGTCTGTTTAGCATTCTTCACTCTGGAGAGGTAACCCGGACATTGTTTAGGAGATGACAGAAACTGGGAAATGAGTATTAGCCTCCCTTCCACAACAATGAGTCCTAGGTCCAAAGTCATTCACTAAAAGGGGTCAGTGTCTGGACTGGAGTCTCAGTCACATGTCCATGAACTAATGCCAAGGACAGGTGCTTATTTAGGGAAAGATAAACCAAGGTCCCTTCTGGCGTTTCTGCCCCGAGAAACAAGGCCATTTCCTGCTTCTGGCCAAGGACTGTGATCAACTGTTCAGTTTCTAATTCCCTGCCCCTAAAGTGACTAGTTAATTGACATCTCCTGTTCTCATCACACCATCCTGAAAATAATCAAATAAAAGGGACCAAGAAGAGAAGCGCCCTTAATGCTGCCATTTGCCTCGAAGAAGGTCCCTGTTGCAGGGAGCTGTCTGGAAGTCCCTCCATCACTGGTTGATGACTCCCACTAGGTGGTGCCAGACCACTGTGATGCCTACAATTCCCAGCTTGCTGGTCCTGTCTTTTAAATAAAAAAAAATTATTTATTTTACACACCAACCACAGTTTCCCCTCCCTTCTCCTCCCATTCCCTGCTCCCACCCCAATCCACTCCCCCTCCCCCTCAATCCACTCCTCCTCCATCTCCATTCAGAATGGCTAAGGCCCCCTAAACAGAGCATGGCCTATCAAGTTGAGGCAGGACCAAGCTCCTCCCCCTTGTATCAAGGCTGGGCAAGGCATTCTGCCATAGAGAATGGGTTCCAAAGAGACAGTTCATGTGTCAAAGACAAGTTCTGGTCCCACTGCTAGTGGCCCCACAAAAGACCAAGCCACACAACTGTCATCCACATGCAGAGGGCCTAGATTGGCTCCATGCCGACTCCCTAGCTGGTGGTCCAGAATCTGTGAGCTCCCACAAACTCAGGTCAGCTGTCTTTGTGGGTTTCGCTGTCATGATCTTGACCCTCCTTGAACCCCCAAGGAAATAGAAACAGTCATCAAATATCTCCCGACCAAAAAAAAAAAAAAAAAAAAAAAAAAAAAGCCCAGGGCCAGAATGGTTTCAATGCAGAATTCTAACAGAATTTCAAAGAAGGGCTAATATCAAGTCTTCAAATTGTTCTGCACAGTAGAAATGGGAGGAACAATGCCAAATTCTTTTTATGAGGCCACAGCTACCCTGCCACCCAAACCAGAGATGCACCAAAGAAAAAAGAATTACAGACCAATCTGACTTTTAATTTAATTCAGCAATGGTTTGTTCCTTTTATGTAACTGAAGTTTTAGACTCCAGTTCATGTGTTATGGTACGTTTAACTTCCTTTAACCTCAGATTTCCCTGCAAAGAGTGTATGTAGTTCTATTTCTAATTTGCTAATGAGACAGTAGAGGCTTCAGAGAGCTCAGATGATTAAATATCTTGGCCAAAGTTACTAAATTCAAAACGAGGAGAAAGGATTTCATCATTGGTATTCTTTCTTTAGGTGTATAAATATGAGCACTGGGAGGGAAGATGCCCTTATGCTCTTACCTTGATAGGCTGAGGGTGCCTGGTAGCATTCTTTCCATTCTCTGTCCATTGTGTGTGTGTGTGTGTGTGTGTGTGTGTGTGTGTGTGTGTGTGTGTGTGTGTGAATCTATTTGGACAGGTTCAGGTGTGGATTGTGAGGCTGTGGAGGTGACAGAGCAGCTCTTGGGAAATAACCCATCTTGGTGGAAAAAGGAGAGAGACAATTCAACTCCATTCTCAGGACAGTTGGAAAAAAGTGAATCCAGGTAGGTTCTTGTCTCTTCAAGAGGCCGTTATTACCGCTAAGGAAAAATAAACATGGGAGAGTCTCCCTAGGCCTCCTGCAACAGCATATCTGTCTCCGTACCTGGTTAGCAGCAGCATTGGTAAATTAAGATGCTGAAGACTCTGCAGATTTCCTTCAGACCGGTCTGGGACGAAGTCTTCTTTTACCATCCCCTCTAGATGATGCTTCTCCTTCCTTCTGCTGCTGCTGTCACTCCAGCATAGGTGAATTCAGATCTCTGTTGGGAACGGAAGAGGGACAGTTTCTTCTTGAGACAGAGTCTCACTATGTATCCCTGACTGGCCTCGAGCTCACTATGTGGACCAGGCTGGTCTCAAACTCAGAGTTCTTGCCTCTGACTCCTGAGTGCTGAGATTAAAGGTGGCAAGTGGCTTCAACAATCCCCCCAGGGTAGTTCTGCCACTTGTCCCGTTACGTGAGAAGTGAGACAGCGAAACATAGTTGTTTACAGTTGTGCGTTTTTAAGGATAGAATCTCCACGTTTATGCTTTCTTTGCTCCTAATCGTGTATAGCACGAAATTAGATTTTCGTTCTTTTATTGGGCTATTCATTTTAAAATAAAAGTAATGATTTGACTAACTTTCACCCCCCCACATACAAATGTAGTATGGAGGCCTTGTTTAAATCTCTGTATTCACTCCTGAGATTCAAGCACTCTCTCTAGTCAAAAGATGGAGGCTGGAAGTTTTTTCTAACCCGTGGTGTAGACATCTGGGAGAGAAACCAGCTTCAGTGAGAGCTGAATAAGGAGCTTGGATGTAGTAAAACTATGGCCACCAGAATGTAGACAAGTGTCTGGAGGACCTGGGATGTGTTCTGTGTCCAATCCCTCTGGGCTTCTGCTTCAATGTAAAGAAAGCTGCGTTTAGTAGGCTCTTTTGGCTGCAAGGAGAAGGTTCGTTCACCTGATCTCTAGCACGAAGGATTTACTGTACCTTACAAAGCTTATGATTGTCAAAGGCCTCCATCTGGGATAAAATAGCATTGA